GTGTATCGCTTTGCTCTCCATAAATTCGTTTTTATCCCTTCGCCGACCGAATTTTTCCGCCCCGTGTTCGCGATTCCGATATTTCCGTCAGTCAGGAAATAGTTCAATATTTGGCCTCGATGACACGATGACGAATCGTTCGGAACGCTCCTTTATTTCACTGTACACCTGGATCATTGCCTCCGAACGGTTTCGCGAATTTTTCCCAACCGACCCGACGCGGAATTGCTCTCCCTCGTTGACGCGTTTGCCGTTATGGTTAATTAATATCGCGTTAAATAATGGACGCCATTCGGCCCACGAGAAGCCACCGCTATTAACCCAGATCGCGGAATTTGGCCTATCGCCCAGTGGGCATAGATACACTCTCGAAACAAATTGCTCTGAGAATTTTCATTTTTCTGCGTTTCTCTGACATCCGCGATGTGTCTCGTGCTCGCTGGTACGAGAGGAAAGAGCCATACGTATCATTTATTATCCGCCATCTACCCTGTTGCAACGTCCGATGGATAATTCAATCCGCACGCGACGTTTGGGGACAGTTCCAGCAACGATCGATGGCAATTAAAATTAGCCAACGAGAATAAGCGAGGAAAATGGAGAATTTTAATAAAAAATTAGCCACATCGATTTCAATGGGTTAGAAAGGCAAAGTAAAATTGATAGTCTGCTGGTTGTCAGTGCAAACGAGTTTGGATTGTCTGCTGTGTGCGTCGAGGATATTTCACGATAAACGATTCACGAGAATAATGTACTTTCCTTGGACGTAAGATGGGAAATGGCATACCGTCCCCTATATCGTTGCTTTTTCTTTTCCTCGTAGCAAACCTACGCAGCTGTAGGACGTATCGTTAAGCGAAATTGATCTTGGCGCGATATTTTCTTCTTTATTTTACTCGCAGCTGGTAGGGAATTTTTCGCGGAATAATTTCAGGGATTATTCGGTTGCCCGAATTAGGATAGACGAAGTAATTTCGGTGGAATTTGCCTTGGTCACCTGGCGGGAACAGGTTAAGCGGAAAGAATAGCGTCTAGATGGAAATCACTTTTGAATTCATCCCTTTTGAAGCTTAATTGCGCTCTCTTCTGCCTTTTTGTTTCTCATTCCGGCTGTCTTAGCGGCGAAAAATTGCAGGAATTTTTGTTCTCATGAGAAACGGAATGAATATTCGAAAGGGTATGTAATTAAAAATGTTCGGCGTAGTTTCAAAGGAAAAGAAACGACATCGAAGTTACCAAATAGTGGCGCTGTGTATATTTCATTAATTACACTGTTCCGACGAGTACCAGCGAAACCGAGAGGCAAATAAACCGAGCCACAGCCATTGGATTGGTCACGCAATGATTACCCAGGGGTTTAATGATTTTTTTTCCTCCGGTATAATCGACCTGTTGAGGGGAAGTTCGCCCTACACGCGCGAAGTTACCTGCGACGCGGAAATAATTTTCTCCCTGGGAAATTTCGTTGACCTTACAGCTGCTATATCGTGTCTTGAAATGGCGTAGAATCGTGGAATAAAACTCTGATTCAGCGAATAACAATGATTACCAAAGACTGTGTAACAATTCCATTTGACTATTCGAATTATGCTTTCTTCCTGCCTTTCGAAATATTTTTGAAAAATATTTTACCACCTTTTCATTCATCGTCGAAGGAACAACGCGATGGTCCTGTTCGTCGAATAAGCTCGAACAGGTGCGTGGCGGTATTGCGTGGAAGTTCGAACGCGGAAAAAGGACATTCGCGCCCCTCGTGGCGCCCACAAAGTCGCCCACAGTTCAGGGTGCTAAACGAATAGGTGCTGTTTGTTAATTAGCGGAACCCGCGTCGGCACTCGGAAAGGCACTTGGTTGCGGATGCAGCTTTCAGGGAGCTTCGCTCGCATCGTCACGCCCTTTATCACTGCCTAATTGCCATGGAGAACGACCCTCGTGCAATTAACGCCCCCCATTTCCATATTCCTTAACACGTTCCCGTACGAACGTTGCCTGTTTCGCGATTTTATTTGCAACAGCGAACAAAGGACCAATGAAACGTTTACTCACGTGTGGAACGTATCGCTAACGCAGTTTCCGTGTGATTGCAGGTGAGAGATCGTGAAGCTGGAGAAAGCGGAGATCAGTCGAAGAAGACCATCGACGTTGCGTTTCCAGCGAGCTGCACGATGTTTATTGCACGAAGGGCGGCATGCTACTGGCCGAATCATCCCCGTTTCGCCCCTACTCACCCCATTATTAGGTCGACGGCAGCGCAGCTACGTGGTGGTTGCAACGACTATGATAGGCGCTCGCAGTAAGTCGAATTTCCAGACATTTCTTCTTTTTTCCTAACCTCTGTCTTATCCAGGAAATTCCTTTTATTTTTTCCCGCAAACATTTATCGCGTGTTTCGGAAAACTACGCGTAATTTCTCCCTGTTAAACGATTTTTCGTCGCGAAACGTGACATTTTCCGAGGCAGCTGGTTCGACCGAAATCGAAGCACGCTTTGTAGGTTTAAGAGACAGATGGTAATGTCGTTGGAGCAGAATATTTTTTCTTCAGACAAGCGAGGGCGAGTCTAAAAGCCGGGAGGGTTTTGATTTATAATTCATTCGTATGCTCTGAATATAGAAAGGCTACTTTAAAGTGGCCGTACTATTTCTCGGGTGGAACTTCGACGTGACGCCTTCACGGCCATTTAGGAAGCGTAATTATTTACACATCGATCGCAATCTCTCTCTTTGGAGTCCCGGGAAAATTCGAGGAAGACGCCTTTTCTTCTGCGGACCATCTACCTAATTGAATCTTCTTATCTCCTCGGATAGGTCTCCCGGCGTCATTCAATTTCCGCGGAAAGCAACTACGCGACTTTCGACCTCCCCCGCGCTAATTACCAGTTCATTTATGGAAACGTTACAGTAGCAAGGCGTACACCGATATTCGCGCTATTAATTCGCGGTAATATCGCGCGAATCGGTAAAGCAAACGGTCATTAATAATCGGGCACACGTTTTGCACGGTAGCCGGATTAATTCGTATTTTAATTAAATTTTCCATGAAGACTCGTACTTTCCATGTACCCCGATTGATTCCTGGTTTTCATCCACGGATATTGTTCTCCCTTATTTCTACCGTTTCCCATTGTCTCGACGAGCAAGCCGGCATTTGTTCCTTGATGAAAAGTGAAGCACGCAAAAACAACGCACCACGCGTGCCAGCATTATCGTTGGATCCACCGGTTCCGTTGAAATTGAATTTCCGAACGCGAAACAAGCAGCTTTGTGCCCCCCTGTGGCAAAATTGAAAAGTGTGTCTCGCAAATATCATGCACACCGCCGGTCTTTTGATCTCCGGCGCACGAGTTTCGATTAAAAACGAAAGCACGAAACCAATTTCTCCCTTCTGCACGCTGCCAGAAAATTATAACGCGCCCGAATTATCGCTCGGCCCGGAAAATCCGAGACACGCGATTTTCCTGAAAATTTCATTTCGACTTACCGCTAAAGGACGAAATGGCGTGCGAGCCACGCTAATAGCTTTCGCCATATTTCACCACCAACGTTCCCCGAGTATGCGTCAACGCGGAATATCTCCACGATCTCGCGTCATTCGCATTTTTGCATCACTCGAGATAATTCGCGACTGTCGCGTTGTCCAACGAACCGCTTAGAGTTCGCAGCGGAATAGAGAGCAGTGAATCTTCGAAATTGCTAATTCTCGAGTACCGTTTCGAGCAGAGCCGACGTTAATTCGAAGCTTCCGCTGAACGCGTAGTTAGAGTCATTGAGGATTTTAATTTCTTCGTAATGTTGCGTTCGAGGCTGGTTATTCTTTCGCGGGATCGTCGAATGGGAAGCTCGTTTAGCATGGGACGAATTTTAATGAAACTTAATTGCATTACTCGGACGGGAAAAATATCAGAAGTCGGTCACGTTCTATTTAAGACGTGTTCCACGATGTCTTAAATACTGTTTCCTGCTCTTCATCCAGCTACCTCGAGGGTAATAATACCTCTTCCAAGAGGCACTGTTACAGGTTATTCGGGAGTTGCCTTTAAAGCTTTGAAGAATTTCTAGAACGACCGGAATAACGTTTCTGCCTCTGTTTCTTTGCGTTAATCGAGACGCCGCATTGTCGCATTAGCGAATCTCGAGTTCTCTAAGCGGTGTAAAATTCTGTGGCTAAATGGTGGAAATTTGCTCGAGGATCACGGGAATGTTAATTCACCGCAGAGGGTGGCAAAGTGCTTAAGTCGCCGTCTCAAATTTCGCGAATGCATCGCAGGTTTCTCGGTTAACACAAAGATACTGGGTCGTAGTTTCGAGTACAAGGGAAACTCGTGTACCGGAATAGTCTGTGTGCAGTAGCAACGACGCGTTTACATGGGAAATGGAATTCGACATTCGTGTTCGACGGAAACACCTATCTACCGAGTAAAAATTATCCCGGAAACTGTCAGCTCGATGAATCTTCTTCTGTCTTTATTTTTTCCAATTCGCGAACGTTACTTTGAGCGAAATTGATCAGGAAATTACAGCTCGTTCTATTGTTCCTTCTGCGACATAATCAAGCATTAATGCTCTTCGAGTCAGAGATTACTTTGGCTGAATTTTATCGAATGTAATTTTTAACCCTCTGTGGACCGAATATATATATTTCTTGACTATAAGAATTGTATGTAACATAAAATCAACAAATACCAACCAATACATTCAGCAGTTTTGACAATTTTATTGTAACGAATTCATATTGAAAATTTGAATTAACAACGTTTGTACTATTGCGCCAAGATAATGTGTAATAGGTAGACAAGATAATTTTCCACGCCATCTTGTGGAGAAAAGGTCATAGGGGGCCATGGAGGACCTAACCTATCATGATCGAATAACCGGTAAATGAACAAACATTAGAATTTTTAAAAATGGAACCACAGGAGGTATTGTAAAAATAATTATAAATATATCGAAAGAATAGACAAGATAATTTTCCACGCCATCTTGTGGAGAATAGGTCATAGGGGGCCATGAAGGACCTAACCTATCATGATCGAATAACCGGTAAATGAACAAAAATTAGAATTTTTAAAAATGGAACCACAGGAGGTATTGTAAAAATAATTATAAATATATCGAAAGAAAAATCGCGAACTGGAGTGATCAAGACGATTACGTTGAATGCAGTATTTAATAAAATGCTCATACGTTAGCATGTAACTTGAAAGTTACAGGGGCCCATAGAGGGTTAATATGACCGGTTATGCTGCAATAAAATAGTTGATGGGACGAGTGTATGGAATCATCGTTGAAAATATCGTTTAATATTTTATTTACCGATCTTTTCGCATTTATTTAAACGTGACAGTGTATTTTCTTCTCTTCCTTCCCATAAAAGGAACGACAAGTTCTGCGAAGAATTTATATTCAGAGGAACTCCGACCAGTCTTTCTCATAGATGTCGTTTGTCTCTTGCATGAGTAATCCCAGCTTCTTCTTGAGCACGGGTTCCACCGATTGATTCTCGTCCTGCGACAAATATCCGGGCACGGTTTTTCACTTGGAAACGTTGGGAATATTGGAAAAACAAATTCGCCGAATTTCCCGATTAAAACTACAGCGAATAATTCTTTTGTACGTTGTTGGAACGGAATCGATGAAATGTACTCACGATGTTGCGAATTCGGTTGTAATCCTGGTTGTAAATTCGTGGCCCGTTTTTGCGATACCGTGGCATTTCCCTGGTCCCGTGCAGAACCAACGAGAACGCGTCTATTGTGCCATTATTCTCCCTCGGCCCGATCTGTTCAGGTGCAAATGAACGCAATTCAGCGGGTTCCCGATTAGGTCGAAACCCATTCTCGAGTGGAGAAAAAAGAACGTCGCTGTGTAAGATTAATAGGAAATAGTTTCGCGAATGAATCACCTCGTCGAGAATGTCTAGGAACCAGCTGCCACGTGGATCCTCACCCCACGATGCCACGGACATAAATTTCCACTTCTCGAAACCGACAGGCGAGTCGTCGAATTTTCTGGGCTTCAGCAATTGCACCTTTGTCCCTTGAAATTATTGCAATGGGAGAGGAAGACAGGAGAGATTAATCGCGCGAATTCCATTCGCGTGGTCGGAAAATTCATCATAATTTTATTCCGTTTTCGCGTGGAACGGAAAATCATATTTTGCTCTGGAAATTCCCGAACGTGACACACGGCAAATCGACAGGCGAGTCAATTAATGCGGATAAATTTTATTCCTCGTAATTCCGTGCACCGGAAAACCTATGCACCAGAGGAAATCACGTAGCCCTGTTTCCGGTTGACCGAAATTACCTTTCGTCGGAGTTGCTTGTTTTTCGAATATTCCCCGATGCATCCACGCACGGAACACCGGCTATTAATATAACAGGAATCCGCGAACGTGCCCGGAATTAAACGTAGCAACATAATGGTCAGGCCAATCTCACTCCGGTTCATTACAATTAGCCCGATTCAGTCCTGTTACAAGAAAATTGTTCGCCACCTCGCGCCACCCCGACGTATCCGATCTTCTCGTAATTTTAATCTATTTCTCAAGCAGCTGAAAATACCGCCAACTTTCCTATCCCATAGATAAAAGGAAGCAAAGGAACCGTAGTTAAGTTATATTTCAAGAGGTACACCACCGTGACGGAAATTAAATTTCTTTTTTAAAATACACGGGTTTCAAAGTGTTTCCCGTAACTTGCAAACTAAAGGTTTTATTAACGCTTCTCACGTTGCTGCCCCTCCTCCGCCTTTCGGAATCTTTGGAACTTTGCGGCAGGAAAGGTGGAAAGTAAAAGATCTTTCGTTAAATTTCTTTTTAGAAACTGGCTATAACCGCGGCTATAAATCTACCCTCTTGACTGTGTTCGACCCCCTCGAAACGTAGTTCGCGACACGGAATCGATCTCGCCGAGCTACCTGCACCCTGGCCGCATCTCTATACACTGTGAAAATCTTATTTCGGATCGTCTTCGCGAGCATTCTTCCCTGTTATTTAATATATAGCAAACGCTATGAAATCCGTTTCACGCGGCGATAAATACGCGACAGACCGAAACAGGTATCGCAACTTAAAACTAGAACGCATCTTCCGAGTGCATCCTAGAGTTTGAGACGACGTCTCGACGTCTTTCGGCGGAAATCTCGGTTCGAATTCGAATTCAGGAAAATTGGTGAAAAATCGTCCCTCGATATTCCGATGAAAATCATTGCGCGATTATGCAAAGCAATTATTTCCTCGATAAATCTTCTCGTCCATTAGCCTGAAGTGTTTACAGGCTAGGAAACGATTTCGGAGTATGTCGAGTCGAGGCAAACGAGAAGTGCATACCTGAGGGCGCAGTCAGATGAATCTGAAGTGCACCACGAAGACTGTACTCGAGGCTGACCTCGATCTCCACGTGCTCCAAAAACGTAATCTCGTTCTCAGCCGATCGACACTCGTCCTCTGCCTCGAATCGCAGTCTCCTGCTATTTCCATAAGCCAGCTTCTTGTCGATTCTGTAGCAAAGGGAACATTTTTCCATACGTGTACGCGCGGACAGCCGTTCAGCTTCCGCGTGCAGCTGTGTCTTGTCGATAAAACTGGTCGAAGCTTCCTGAAGCTGCGACAGCGGAGTACGAAGCACGTTCTGACTCGATGGTCTGCCGATAATTACGTCGGATATCGATTAAACAACGGCCGAAGATATCACGGAATAAAGGAGCGAAGGAACAAAGTTGGTCCGTCACTGGGATCCCTGCGAAATTCCTTTGGAAAGGAAACGCAGCGACACGGAAACGGGGGTTGGAAATTTGCGAGGAAACCTTCGCTGCACTTTGGAGGGCGTCGGAGCACGTTTATCTCAAAGGGGAAAACGGGGATATTTTTTATCCCGAGGAACGGTAAACTGACGTGCGAGGAACGCACGAGAAGTTCTCGAGACGTTCCACTTTTTCGGCTGCCTTCCTTACGGTGCAGTAACGAATGACTAAAGAGCACTTTCCGCGATGTTGAGTTTAACGACGTAAAAAGTCAGCGGGCTTTGCTGCGCTTTTTAAAGGACCAAGGACAGCCCGAGCATCACCTGGGGCCCTGATTGCAAGAAACTGCGAGTACGCCGGGTAATCTCTCGCTGTTCTCTGCCTCTGAAACGAACGTGCCCCGGATTGCCGAGGGAAACAACTGACGTTTAACTTTCTCGAATCGGACGTAATTATAAGAAGTTCGAACCGATCGGAGGGGTGGAAGAAATCGGGTGTACAGGGAAAAGCTCGACGAATTTTCAGCCTTGCTGAGAATGTCGCGGGTGTTGCGACGGTATAACGTACGGTATAATGTATGCAAAAGTTCACGAAACAGTAGTTGGAATGGAAAGCTGGAAAGCCCGAAAGCTTGTTTGAGTATTCAGGGTTAACGGTGTTTAAAGCTGCGCACGGAATCACGTTCAGCCGTGGTAATCTAAATGGACCGTGAGTGGTGAATCCTACGTGTGTAGTGTTTGCGTGTGGCATGTACGACTACAATGGGAAACATTCATATTATCGATTAACGAACGCGTATCTGTGTCGCATTCTGCGAGCTCGATTAATTCTTTATTTCACCCGGAGATCTGGAACGTGCTTCATACGTCCGGATAAAAGGCACGACGTATCTTTTAACGTGACCTACTTGAACTCGGGCACGAAAAACAGGCGAAATGGTTCAGCTGCGTCGATTTTTCAAAGAAGGACGAAATTTCCTTGCGATGCCACTCACATTTTCGCGACGTCCACTTTACAGATGGTCTTGTCCGGCACAGTGGTCCAATTGGAACTGGCAGAGACCAGAGCGTACGCGTTCATAAGTCCAAAGCCGAAACGTGAGTTGAACCAAAATCCGGCGGAGTTTTTGAACCAGCCAGGGTTCTCTCTGAAAGTTGATGCAATTACGGGGCTTGCCCGCGCGAAAGAAAGAATGACCGACGTAAAATGAAACGGTTGCCAGCGCGGGTTGATGTAATCCCTTTTTACACGCGGCAAGAAGCCTCTATTTTGCCAGCGAATCGCGTGGTTCATTTAACATCCTTCTCTCCTGCTAAGAAGGCAATTCTCGTTTCACGCGTTTTTACGTCGTTTTCGTAATTCCCGCGCGAATCGAATCGTGGGAAATGCTCGGGGATTACCCGTTTGCCGATCTCTCTTGTTATACACCGCGATAACGCGATGATCGACGACCGATCACTGTCGCCAACATCGATTTAAGCCATCGATGCTTTCATTTAAGCGATATCGACGGGGAGTAGAGCACTGTTGGTTGCGTCTCGCCGAAAGACCGATACAATCGCGCAATCAGGTCACTGAATTCGAGCCAACGCGCGATTCTCGATGCCGTGAATGAAGTTGAAAATTATTAATATATCCGATCGCAAGTCTCCATCCTTTCGCGTGATTCTTCATCTTTGCTGTCTATTTTCCCTCCATTTTATTTTTTTTCTTTTTTCTTTATTCTCAAGTAAACTCGTTTACGGTCTTGGCGGAACGCCGTGGAACAAAGTGAACCGAATGGCACGACGAAAGAACCTTCGGGGATATTGAGCTCATTACGCGTAAGGAGGGAAACTGTAACGACGCGAGTGCATCTTGACCCTGTCTGTTGCACAGGTGCAGCCAGGAGCACGCTGGTCGTGGAATTATCTTGAACGGAGGAAGAAACGATCCCTGCTTCCTGTTCGCTTCACCGCAATTATCGTTACCCGTCGAAACAGCACGACCTACATTTCCTCCCCGTCGCGGAGCGAGTAAGAATGACACAATGCTTTAATCCATCGTTGGTTCGCGATGCCCAAGGAGAAGAACGAGATCGACCCTGTATTTCGCGAGAGAGCTCTTTTCCGTGGAATTCGGAAAAACGCTTTCGCGAGCACTGCAGGCGTGACCTGCCCGAATATCGCGACCCGAGCAGCGAACGCCGATTTTAATCGCGAACTTAATTGCAGTCGATGAAAATAACTCTCGAGTATGTTAATGCGACGTTAACTTGGAACAACAATCTAGCTCGCGCAAAGTCTCGGAACATTAAAGCCGATGTAGTCTACGGGTAGAGGAAAGTACAGCCTTTGTAACGCATTTTGCTTCAAGTCGATATCTCGATCGGCTCTCGAGATACGCGGTGTCGAAGTAAGGGTGAAAGTGCATGAATGGCACCCCTAAATCGCGGTGACCTATATCCTCAGCCGCGAATGCGTACGCCGTAAGTAGTAACGGTAAAAGACTGCCGACTCAGCGTCTGTCACTGACCAGTACCCCTGGCGCGACAGAGGGGTAGGTCACGGCGGGTGCGCGACAAGGACAGAGAGAGCGCCGCATTAAAAATTACGCTTCGCTTCACTCGGCGATATCTCCTGAACCGAAAGTTGTATCGAGGTGAATCAAAAAGCGAATTAAAGGGGAAGGTTCGAAGCTTTTAACGGGGCGAACTAGGCCGGGCAGAAATGAGCGTTTTTAAAGATACAGGTGTTGCAAATTCCAATAAGTTGAAGCGTGTCAGACGTACCTGAGCGGACTGTATTCCGACGTCCAAACGACGAGGTGTTGCACGTCCCTCCAGGTCAAATCTTTGCTTCAAGAATAATAATCGGATTATTTTGATTGGTCACCGGGCTCGGCAGAAATATTCGTGGTGCACGGATAACGGAATATCGTGTAACTCGGTTGGAGGAAGTAGAAACAGCACGAAACAAGGAAACAGCCCAAGGTGTTTTCCGTAATGGCTTGAAACAACTTCCATGAAACGTTGCTGCTCGTCGCAAGTTTCATAGTTTCGTGGCCGGAGCGAACGCGTCGTTTGTTCGAAATTTTCCCGATGGTTAGGACAACGATAAGTTCTTAATCGAGTCCCGTATTATGCTAATGCCCCACGCTCGGATTTATCTTTCCACCGTTTCCCCTGCTGGCAAGCCTCGAATTTCCGCTAACCACGTTCTCAGAGATGAAAAAGAGATTATCGAAACCGGGTAGCGAGCAAATATCCGACACAGAAGGAAATTCCAATTTTTTTAAGCATCCACTCTGCTCGTAATATACGGTCTACTTTGTTCAAACATTCAATTCCGCGGATTCGTTTTAACACTGTGCCCGAGGCTACTCGAATCTTAGCGAAATCCAACCATAACGACGCCAATGCATTTAACGATTGCACCCGCAAATTCGATGGCCAGTATCCGGTTTGAAACGGGGAACCGGAGTTTCGTCGGCTCCGAGAAAAATGCCTAAGAGTTCGTACTTTACTTGCAAAGCCAAGGCCAGGATTCCCGCAGCTAATGGAGCGGACGCGGAAGTGCCAGTGTGACCCGTGGTGCAGGTGTTTCTTAAGTCCGTCGTCGCCTGGAATGACAGAAACTGAGTTGCTTAAGTTATCCCGTTCCCCGGCAGACACCACTTCCCATCGTTCCATAAACCGAGCTTCCGAATCGCTCGAATAACCTCGTTAACTAAAGACGGAGTGAACAAGCTTACTATCATTTGGTCGTGATAAGCGCCACTGCTGTACGTGGTTGCTAATGTCGCGGGACAGCTCTCGCCGTACCATGGAAATCTGCCAGTCTGACTCGCAGAGCCCACAGCGATCGTATAAATGCTTCCTACGTATCCGTCACATCCGCAGTCGTCCGATTTCAAGCCTCCGTTTCCGGAAGCCCAGACGTAAATGCTGCCCTTGCCGTTTCTGCCCTGGATAATCGCGTCGAATCGATAATATTAAAAAGACGCGTAAATGCGTTACCCTCGCTGCCCGCAAAACGATATTCTAACGTCGCATCGAGTAAAACCGCGATAATGCGGGGAACGACCTGATAAATATGCACCTGCGATATAAATATGTATCGAATCCTGTTTCTCCACCTTCTGCGCGATTTATTCTCCATGAATATTTCATTTTTCGCAACCGCGTCGTATAATACTTTCTAACCGTTTCGCGATCCCCTCTACGGCGTACCATTTTCTCACATAAAATTAATTAGAATTCCAAGAAACTCCGCGGAGCAACGGACAGAGGAAAGTCGGGATTTATGAAAACGAATTTCCATTATTCCGACAAGCTTGAGAAAAGGAGGGAAAAATATTCCCCTCCGCGAGAATGTTAGAATAACGATGTTAACAGAACTCTGTGGTTTCGAAGTAATTAACGTCGCGAGTAATTAGAAACTCTTGACCCGCGTCGACAGCGAGTCAAAGGGTCTCGAGCTCATTCCTAGTCGCCAAGTCGACCCATCCACCTGTGATTAAACGAAACATCCAATTTCAAAGCGTTCAACTTCGAATGCCTATACTCGCCAGCGTGACGCCACGTTCCAACGCTTCTGTAGCCAGTCTTCCAGGTGCCTCTAGACTTTTCCCGTCGTCCGCTGGGCCCCACGAGGCCGTGTAAATGTCCACCAGTTCCGGTTTGTACCCGAGAGCCTCTCCCTCCACGCGATCGTTCACCAAGCCGTCCAGCAGCTTGATCCCGCCGACGGATGCCTCGAAAGAGACGCCCACGCCGCACTTCCGGTTGTTTGCCTCCATCGCTATTTCCCCTGCGCATCTGGTCCCGTGGCCGTTCATTCCTGCAGACGAGCGAACGCGTCGAAACGCGTGAAAGAGTAACTATCGATCAAGCCACGGATTCCGAACACGGAGGCCAAGTACCACGGATTCGTGTCGCGATATTTCCACTCGTGAATTTAATTCGGGGAAAATTTCACGTTAATTCGAGTCGAGGATGTGCATGTTTCGGAACGGAAGGGGTGAAATTTGTCGAGTGCTAAACTAATTCTAGCTGTCGTTCAAGTTATAGCATATTCTGTCATACAGTTTTCTCGTCAACAGTTTACCGAAGTTCTCCTGTCAGCCGAGCAGTTTCTCTATTATGAGCCACCGGTATCTTGGAAGCTTCTCGACACGCGAGTAAACCACCCTAATTATAGAAATTTTACGACATAATGGCGAGAGTCTTGCAGTCGGTCGGCATAATGAACGGTTAGGTGGACGTAAATTCGACCGGTAACTTAGTGGAAACTTTCTTCGTTTCATTTTTGTTTCTCGAGTCCGTCACGATAGCCGATGAATATTATTTATGATTAATATATCTATCGTAGACTTACGTTAAAGATTACATCGAACAGTTTCTCTTATACCTGATAATTCGTATCGTGGCAAAGGGTCGTCGTCCCCCTGGTTCACGTCGTAACTTATGTTAGGATCCTAGATCAATAAATTCGCAACAAAATTAATCAGCCATCTGCAAAATTACCTCCGTACACGAAGGATAGAGTATACTCAGAGTTATCGAGGCTGCAATGTTGGATGGCACCTCTCGTCATCTGTGGGATGCGGAAGGTACTCCGAGGCGAGGTTTCACGTTACTCACGTAGTTATTTCGCAGGTCATCGTGGGTATACTCCAAGCCATCGTCCAAAACTGCGATTCTCACGCCACGACCAGTTACCCCCAGTCGATAGAGGGGTAGAACGTTCAGATCCAGCTTGGGAAGAGCTTTGTTCGACCGCGTGTCTTGCTGCAACAGTTGATAAAACAGTTTTATCTTATCGCGAGATAACAGAGCCAACGTTGCACGTTTTACCAACAACTCTCCTCATCGATTCGGCACGATATTGACTTTCTTTCCCTTCTCGTTACACGTGTCACTTCCTTTCGCGACGTTCTTTTTATCATCGTTGTCTAATATTCGGTATCTTTACAGTTCCCTTACCAGGTACCATTCTTGGTCCCAAAGTTCGTCGTTGAACATCAGCCTGGAATCTTCGGGACCATCCAGCCAAAATTCTTCCCAATCTCTGCCGTCCTCCTTTATACCGTTCAAGTGATATTGATCTAGCTCCACTCTCTTTTCCCTTATCAGAGGTTTCTCAGAATCGAGGCTAGATAATGGCACGTAATCGCGTTTATGTCGCTCGATCGCCTTCTGCTGATCTGCCCAAATGATCTTTGGAAACAAAGAGGAAGAACGCGTTAACATAGTGGAACGTAGCGATTTAAGAAATGAAAAAGAATTGTAACAATTAACATAGCTACCTTGTTACTCGAATTCAGTGCTTTCGTTAAACGTATTCCACCCCTCTTCTCGTGACCACCGTTATATTCTTTCAGCCATATGTACGTGTCCTTGAATCCCAAGACCTGAATCACGAACCGTGACACATGAAAAGCTAGGAAAGGCTGCAATTGCGACGTAAAAACTTAAATTAACGTCAGGCCGACCCGGTGGAGACTTCATAAAAATTTAAATCAACGTGGCGCCGATATGAACGTGGCTTACGTATTTTATTTATCCCACTGTTTCTGTCCCTTCTACTACGTTCCCAATTCGTTAATCGCGCAACGTACTTCGCAGCAGTGCGATTTTTTGCTGTAAAACATTTCGCAAAACACCTCGAATAATCGACGAAAGATGAATATAAAAGTTTGACGAAGTCAACGATCAAGGGTTGCAGAACCACCCCGAATTCGTGGACAAAATCCTCGTACACGAAATCAAAACATCTTTAGCCCCTAGTGTCTAGGATCGAACGCGACCCTTCTCATCGAGCAGCCAGGGTGCTCAGCGCCGGGGGTGCGCGACGTCGCGACGTTTCAACCCTTCGAACGATCGAACGGGACGCTTCGAACAGGGTAGCATGAGCAGAAGGTTGGTGGTCCAACTTGGACGGGAGATGGACGGATAGATAGCTAGGGTGGGAAAGAGGGAAGGGCTTTCAGGGACTATCGAATCTCTCGAATGAGGTATCGCGATATTATTATCCAGCTGCCATGTGGTGGTGGCATTTTTGTATTGTTTCCACATGCGGTATGGCCTCTTCTTGGAACGAGGATCCGGTCGGGGCACGATATTTCCGTAACGAGCTGTGCCTGCCCTTTATTTTCGATCCACCTCCTGACAGTTGGATTTTCCGACTGACTGCTCCTGATAGTTTATCGATCCACGGCTTGGCCTGATTGATGATTGTGGTGGTGACTGCGTGAGCTGGTGCAATAGGGCGCGACGCATGGGAATACGTGCACGGGGTGACGAGGAGTTGCAGGTGTAAAGTGGTTTACGGCTAATAGAGGAAGGAAAACATCGGTAAATTTGTTTTGGATCTTCTTCCAGCCTCGAATTTTATTTTATCACGTTCGCTTGTAAATATTCCTTTATACCGGTTATTCGCAAACGCGTGAAGCACTCTCTGCACGTTTATGCAGAGAATTATCGAATGTAATAAACTGGCTACGTCATTTTTTGTTGGGGCAAGGGAGACCCGCGCAGCGGCATCGCGGACGTGTTGCGAGCATTTTTAACCTTGCGAATGTCAATTACAAATATTACAGCAGCCGGTGGATTACGAACGTTGCATAAATCGAAGGTATCCGCGAATGGATGCGTGTCTGCTCTCTTTGCCGATGTGACGTCATATCTCGTTACATCGCGCTGGATCATTTCCATATTTGCACGGTTTCAATGGACGTCGCGATTAAAAACCTCGTTCGTCATTGGAAAACAGGAAAAAGCATGGGGAAATGAACTGTCAGAAGTCGAAATATTTCTCTGTATTATCGAATAACTGCATATTCCCGGGCAAACAAAAATCACGTGCTCGGAACGCGAAAGAATGGCACGTTTCGACATACTCTGATCTCATCACGGATATCCATCACGGTTTTTCATCGGTAATGTCGCGTTCCGCAATTTTGCCCATCGTTAATTAACGATGGATCAAGGATATTCGAACGCGCTCGAACGAATGCGGCGATAACGCCAGTCGGATAACACGGCCGATTTAATAGCGAAAAAACAAGCGGCCGCGATTACTATGTTTCGCGTGATATTACCGGGATATCGCGTGGCTACGCGATAGGCTCAAGAGTGACCCCAATTTTCGTGGAATCACATCGGCGCGGAAAACAAAGGCCGGAAAAATCCGCGGAGCCCGTTATGAAACAATAATCCCGCATCTGGCCCGGCTGGCTGGCGAAAAAAACCCTATAATCCGGTATCCATTATATTTGCAATGTATTCAGCCAGAGGGAATGAATTCGATCGGTCGTTGCCGTCGAACCGGACGATAAACGGCCGAATATCCTCGACGGGGATACGCGCTTGTTTTTCCTGTTTTCCTTTTTGTCTGCCTCTCTGTCCCTTCTATTTTGTTGTTTTTTCCTCCCTTTGTATTTCCCCTCCTCCCCCCTTTTCCCTTTTTTCTCCCTTTTTTCTCTTTTCTTCTTTTTTTTTTTTTTTCGCGAAGAGGGCGGGAACAATTCAGTTTGGACGCGCGAATAAAAACGATCGTACGTGTGAACGATCGCGCGTGATGGCGTAAGCAGCTACCGATTTTTATGCCACTGGCCCCGGCACATCGATGTTATCACGACTTCCGGCGCCAGCAGGAAGTCGAAGCGCGGCAATTTACATCCGCGACACCCCCCGTCCCGCAAATAATTTCGCCAGCGCGTTTAAGGAGATTTATGGCCCCGATTTTGTTCACTCGAGGTCTCGGTTCAGTTCCAGCCCGCCACGTACCGCGGATTTCTCGTCCTCGACTAGGTATTTCATTCCATTGGCTTCATTTTTAACACTCCGAGGAATAGACCGAGCTCCTAATCGTGACTTTTCCAGGTTAATCCGCCATTATCTATTTTTCCCGACTGTCTGTTCGTTTCGCGTTCGAGGTAGAGCCGCGAAGATGGATCGGTGACGTTCCCCGAGCATGTTCTTCATTCCGGACCACGTTCCTAGCGTGATAAATTAGAAGTCAAGAATCTGTCCCTTAATGTCTACGACTCGGGACACCCGACTCCCCATCAAGGTCAGCTCCTCGGCAAGGGAGCAACCCCGAAATGGGACACGTTCGACGCGGCCCGCTTTAAATTCCACGTGGGAACGCTTCAAACTCGAATCCGTCTGTTACGTGATAATGGCTCCGTTCCCTTCGTCCCGTGGCAATCGACGCCCGACTCTGTCCAAAACTACCCTCGAGACGAGCAGCCCTTTCCCCTGTTTGTTAACCTGCCACCTCGGAACGCCACGTCGCGTTCGTATAGGCGAACGAGCAAGGCCTGCGAGATGGAGAAGGAGAAATCACGGCTCCTCGTTACTTCGCGATCAGCGATTCCTCTTATCGGTCGGTCGAATTGCGCCCAATCGGCCCCTCTGCGGGAAAATCTGCGAGTTCCAGGCTATCCAGGTCGGTTTGTAACAGTCTCCGAGCAAACGACTGATTCTAAATGCTCCGGGAGGTGGAACGGGAGAGGGTGAGATCGGGTAACGACGAGAGGGAAAGAATCCCTTAGCCCGTATGATCTCGACCCGCGGGCTGTTTTCATCCGTACCTCGAGACTTCTCCCGCAAAGTCTCGCGTCTTTCAAACAGACGGAACCTCCGTGTGCCTTCGTTTGCTGCAATTCCCACGAATTATATATTTCACGGCGCCGGATGATAAAACAAAAATCCAGCGTTCTCGCAACTGTTCCCAACGCAGCCGGCAAAATTGCCAGCGAGGGAAATGAAATCGACTACGGCATAGCCATAAATTCGCCCAACTTCCACCGTCTTCCCTTCGTTCCCAAGATCACCGTGCCCTCGATTCCGCTTTTTACGACGTCTGCACGCGATTCCGCGATACACACCGCTCTCCTCTCCATTCCGAAGATTGTTTTCCCCAATAAGCAACCGCATCATCATCATGGCGGTCGATGCTCGCGGTTACATATCGATGCGTAAACACTCCAGGTCTGTTTCCATTCGAGCCTCTGCCAGCACTCGCACGGTGGAACCATCGTTTCCATCGTGCAATTCGACGTATATAATTGAATTCGCGCCGAAGTGGCGAGGAACGCGTAATCTCGAGGAACACGCACCGGGTGAAGCGTTAGGAGCAGGAACCACGACCACGTGGAACGATATATACAAGCGATTATTACACTGGGACAGTAAATGACGCGATTCGAGCGCAATATCCGTGGAATTTCTGGAATTTCCTACGGCTATACCTCCGGGATAAGAAACGCCACGCGTTGGATCGGCGAACAGCTTAAACACTCGCGCGTGTATCGAGGATCTCATAGCAACTCTAGGGATCGATGGATCCTCGACGTGGGAAAAGCGTTGGTATGCTCTATGAATTGAAAAAGATCCTCGAGATACAATCGGGTTGAAATTAGAATCGAACGGTGATTTAGGAGATCGCGACGTCGATGATGGATCCTCTGTGCATACAGCGCACCTAGCGGCCGGTATAATGCGCGGGAAATTGAATTACTAAAAGCAATCTTCGAAACTACGCTATCTCAAAGTGAAAGTTTTAATTGAAATCAACGCTGTAACCAGCGTCACGTGAATTTGGTCAAAGAGGGTTCCGACTAGTTTCATACACTCGATCTCACTTAACTCTTGAACCTATTAGTACCGTATCGATTATGTTATGTATCGGAATTATGTGGCTGACACGCGGCTCTACCCGTAAGTGTGCACGTAAACTAGTACCTAATTTCCTAGCAATATCAGCCTGGGAAATACATGCTTGCCACACGACGCGATCCCAACGACGTCGTGCACCGATCGTTCCAAATTTACCCTTTCGCGGAGAACCGATGATCGCGGAAAATCCGAGAGCGCGAAATTCGAACGGAACACGACGAAACGGAAATTCATCGAATCGGGCATACGTTGACCGGCTGCGGAAAGTGGTGGCATTTTCGCGAGAAAAAAAGGTATGTTTATTAATGTCACGCGGTATTATATTTTCGCGCACACGGCTGACAGCGGTGGGCTAAAAAATTTCCGAAATTCCACAAGTGAAATTAGATCGTGCATTTTTAAAGGCAAGGTCTATACATCCGGAGTTACAAAATTGAACGCGTCATGCGAGATGCGATATCACTACGTAACCCTGGCAATCCCAGAGAAACGAATGAAACGACCGTGTGTAATAAGATACTCGTCGTTCACGCTGAAGTAGGTGCAGCGAGGCTGACGATAAGAAATATCGCGGAGTTGCACGGGGATGAGAGATCAAATATCGAGATCTACTTGAATCGAGATTAAACCTTTCCGAAGGTAGGAAGCTAACGAAAGCGAGTACCAAGCGGCAGGTCGCTGTGACATCTGTCAACCCCCGTAACGGGGAAGTTCATTATGGCGTTCA